ACACTCTCTCTAAAGAAAAGAAAAGAAAAGAAAAGAAAAGAAAAGAAAAGAAAAGAAAAGAAGAGAAAAGAAGAGAAGAGAAAAGAAGAGAAGAGAAGAGAAGAGAAAAGAAAAGAAAAGAAAAGAAAAGAAAAGAAAAGAAAAGAAAAGAAAAGAAAAAGTAAGGTTATTATTTCATACAAATAAGGAAAGGACACTTTCTATATAAGCAATATACATATATCATCTCATCTGATCCCTCACAATCACCTGTGTCGGGAGCTTGATTCTTCCCATTTAGCAAGGGGAAACTGAGGCTCGAAGAGGTTAAATAATTTGCCTAAATGCACAATACTAAGTGTTGAACTGAGACTAAAACCCAGATCTCTCTTCCACTCCATGTTGGTAAGAAGGGCCAAGCAGGGCTTTCTAGTGGAGGGGAGCAGCAAGATCAAAGATAGGAGGCTGGAATGAGCAGGATGGTTGTGAAAAGGTGTAAAGAAATAGGCAACTGGCTGATTCAGTCAGTGGAGCATGCAACTCTTAGTCTCGAGGTCGTGAGTTCAAACCCCACGTTGGGCACAGAGATTACTTAATTTAAAAATAGTAGTCAGGAGGCACCTGGGTGGCTCAGTCGATTAAGCATCCGATTTTGGCTCAGGTCATGATCTCAGGTTCGTGAGTTCAAGCCCCACGTTGGGCTCTGTGCTGAAAGCTCAGAACCTGGAGCCTGCTTCGGATTCTGTGTCCCTCTCCCTGTGCACCTCTCCACTAGTTCTCTCTCTCTCTCTCTCAAAAATAAACATTAAAATAAAAAAATGGGCATCAAGTCCTTCATCCTCTAAGGAGCAGAGGGTGGGGCTTCCCAAGAAGCTCTGCCCCTGCAGAGGATTGCAACAGGTTGAGGTGGGGGTAGGGGGTTGGGGTTCCTGGAAGGTGGCTGAAGCCTATAAGGCTGGCCCTGTGCCCATTGTGTGGCTAAAACTGTCCCCGCCCAGTAGTGCCGGTGGGAGAGCCATGGCCTGAGGGCTAGTTCCTGGAAGTCTAGCCACCACCCTCCCCCACCAACTGCTGCATCCTAGGCCTGGTTGTCTCCCAGTCAGGCTGCCCACTGGCTGCCATTCTGTTCCAAGGTCCCTCCAGGGGAGTGTGGCCTCCAGATGGATTGGTCTCCTTCCTCAAGCCCCTGAGGCACTCTGGCTTTGAAGCTTCATCTCCTAATAATAACAGACTCACTTCCCTATTGATTTCATCTTCCCAACAACACCACTAAACAGGTATTATCATCATTATCTCCATTTTTCAGGTGAGGAGACAAAGCTCAGAAAAGTTGGGCTGCCCAAACACACAGAGCCAGGAAATGCTGACTTAAGCCCAGGTCAAGGTTCCGGATCTGGTCCTCCTTCATTCTGCTATGTACCATGCCCACATCTCTTTCAAGGTTTAGAATTAAGCCCTGGGGGTTACTCCTTCTGAGCTACTCTGGATTTATCCATTAGCCTTCATCCATTTGGGGTTCAGGGCTAGGTTCTGCTATCAGGGCATAACTCTTAGACACCGGAGTCTGGGAACCTCAGTCTTACCCAACACCCTGGACCCGTAAGCTCCAAGGTTTTTTGGTCTGAGAGAGTGGGGTTCAGTCTCCCCTCAACTCCTGAGTCAATCCTCTAAGGCCTCTTACCACTGGAAAGCAACCTCCTCGAAGACATTTTTGTACTATCCTTACCCAAACTAGAAGACAAGGAAAAACCAATGGATGGCTTAGGAGGTCTGGCTCCACTACCTGGGCCTCAGTTTACTTTAGTAAGAGGGGCCTCAACTATTCCGGGGTCCTAGACCCTCACCATGACCTCCCCCAGCCATCCGGGGTAACCGCCAGGCTCTGGTGCCTAGGATAACGCCCAGCCCTCCCCTTGCCTCCTGTGGCTGCCTCCCCTTTCCGTCTGTTGAGAGAGGAAGCCGGGGGGTGGCGGGTGCAGCCCTGCAGGGCACTGATAAAGGTCCAGGCCTGCCCCCGCCCCCTGGGGCCACTGCGGTCAGACCAGCAGGCAAGCAGGCAAGGCAGCCATCTCCCTGTGGGACCCACGGCCCTCCTCTGGTTCCACCTCTACCTACCCCGCCCTACTCGGGAAGCTGGTTGCATAACCCAGTGGGGTGTTTGGCAACATCGCTTGTGGCTTGACCTGATGCTGGTGGTGGCGTGCACACGCGTTGGAATGAGGGTGGGGGTGGATTGATCAGGGGTGACAAGTCAGCCTTTTGGGGATAGGTGAGCGGCACAGATGGAGAACGGTATAACAGTAAAGATCCGTTGCCATGTTTTTCTCCATATTCTGTCTACCTCCTTTGCTGAAGTGGGAGGATCTTGAGATAGGAAAATCTTAGGTATCCTGCCTTGCCAGGCCACGGGCACGATCCAACCCATTCGGGCTCCTAATTCCCTGTTAATTGTAAGTTAGGCAAAGAAGACTTAAGGTAGAAGGTTGTTGACTTCAGCGGTGCCTGGGCAGCTCAGCATCCAATTCTTGGTTTCGGGCTCAGGTCATGATCTCACAGTTCGTGAGTTCGAACCCTGCGTCGGGCTCTGGGCTGACAGTGCAGAGCCTGCTTAGGGTTCTCTTTCTCTCCCTCTCTCTATGCCTCTCCCCTGCTCTGCTCTCTGTCTCTCAAAATGAATAAATAAACATTAAAAAAGAAAGAGAGAGAGAAGAGAAAGAAGGCTGTTGACTCTGGACATTAGGAATCTGAGAGGAGGAGGCTGAAGGAATCATTCCCACCCCTGAGGGCTGTAAAGGGTGTTCACGAGCCAGGACACAGCCTGGGAAGGGCTGTAATGGCCTCTTCCTATAGGAGGAAAGTGGGGGAGAGGTGGGAGCGACACTTTTGCCTGGCCAGTCGCCTCAGTGAAGACTGTTCACTCAGTCCGCTGTGCACCATCGTGTCTGTCCCCCTGAAATAAGCAGTAAACTGCCCCCTTAGCTTGACTTTCAAGGTCTTACAATCTAGCTCCGAACTTTCCAGGCTTCCCTTCCGCTGCGTCCTACCCCACACCCCACCCTGGTAGACCCAAAGTACTACTTCATGTTTCATGGCTCTTTTCCTTCACACCTTTGCTCAAAATGCCCTTCTCCCCCTCTCTGTCTGGTGAACCTCTAGTCATTCTCCACAGCCCAGGTCCATTGTCACCTCCTCTGTGAAGCCTTTCCTGAATTTCACGAAACAGAAATTCAACTCCACAGCACTTAATATAGACCTTTATTTGGATAATTCTCCAACTGGACTGTGAGTGAGGACATAGACTATGTCTTATTCATCTTCGTGTTCCTGGAGTATAAAACATAGTAGACACTCAATAAACATTTTTGAATGAATGAACGAGCGATGAGGCTTGTGTTATCCACAGTTGTATCTGCAGTGCCACAACCGTATCCTGAACTGGTAGTTTTTCATTCAAAAACAGTTTGTTGACTAGCTGCAACTTGATATCATTATTTAGTCAGCCACAAGTGTGACTATCTCCACCCTTCATCCCCTCTGAGGGGCCGGAATAATATGCCACTGAGACAGCTGTGTCTGAATGCCCAGATTCCAGGTACATGGCCCAGATTCATGGCCAGGTCATCAAGAGATTCTGGACCCACATGTGACATGCAATGAAGCCATGGGTCCCCTCCTGTCCTACATAGATCACGCATGTAGAATCATCATCTCCTGGGCTAGAGATGGAATCCGAAGGGTGTAACCATGGGTTTGGTGTGGGTGTTGATCAGACCCTCGCACACAGGCTGCAAGAAGGCTGCAAAGAAGCCGCATCAAACTGCCTCTTGAGTTGCTTGCTTATGCTGCTGGCTGTGGAAGGTCCTAAGGGAGATGTGGGGTTGATGTGGAGCTGTAGGGGTGGGGAACACTTGTAGGAGGACTCCCAGCAGCTATTCATTACCAACAGGGACAGAATATTTCTGTTATTTTAACAGCGAGCAGGAGCCTAATCAGAGAATGTTGGCTGGGTGCCAGCTCTGTCTTGGGGCGGCACCTATCTGCCTCCCAGCCTTTGTTTCCAATATAACTTGAACATTATAAGAAGAAAAAAATAGAAGAAAAGCCTCAGCTGCAGCTTTGAGGACTGCAGCTAGACATCGGAAGGACTTTCCTGCCAGCTAAGAATCAGCAAAAAGGAAGCTAGGAGGAAGCAAGGCTCTTCTAGTCTCTGGAGAGAGATCTGTTTGGCCTGGGTCTTGTGTTGGAGGCCAAGGGATGGTGGAGTGACTTCTCAGAGTACTTACTGGCCTGAGAAAGAGCTGCTGTGGGTGCCGGGGATGAACCTGATATCCTACACAGGTGTCCTGGCCTGTCCAGAGTATGTGGCTGCCATGTGCTCAGTGCCCCGCCTGGTACCCAGGGCCCCCTTTAAGAGAGGTGAATAATGTCCCTGCTGGGAGCCCCCACGCACACCCATCTCCCCTCACACACTGACAACAAACCTGGCCAAGAAAGAGGCCTTTGTCCTAGGACATCTGAGGCTGCTGGGGGAGGGGACAGGGCTACAGGTGAAAGGACACATCAAAGCAGCAACTGCCCCTCCTCCCCAAAATAGCTCCCCTCCCTCTTTCCCAGAACCCAGGCTTTCCTCAAATTAAAGCAACGCCCTAAATGCCCACCTGCCTAAACAATTGAGACACTAGACATGTGGTCCTTATCTTTAGCTGCCATCCACCTGGTTATGACTCAGTTTCCCTGCCTCTGAGAGCGTCAAGGGGACAGAAGGAAGGAGGTTACGACTTGTATAACGCTTAGAGGTCATTCTGGAGTGGGCTACCGGGTTGGAATTCAGCACATGCATGGGAGAAACGCAGGCCTAGCCGGACTCCTGGGCTCCAAAGGAGGGCTGGGAGACGCTGGGAGCCATGTGTGCCCCCGCTGGCCGGGAACAAGGTGGGGGCGGGGTGTGGGCAGAAACCACACCGGGCTCAAGTTTCCTCTCTTGGCCAGAAGGGGCAGGAGGAGAGGAGGGCCATGGGGAAAGGGGAGGGTTAGAGGAAGGACGGCGGACTCAGGCCGAGGGCTTCACAGTGGAGGCTGGTGCGCCGTCAGGCACTCTCCGTGCTCCACCGGGAGTCTCCGTACTCAGAGCTCAGTAATGGCCCGGGGGCGGGGCGCAGCCCTCCCCCGTTTTCAGAGGTAGCCGAGATCCTCACCCAGGAGGTGTCAGCCCAGGCCCAGCCTCCCCAGAGACAGCACGCGGAGCCACATCTCTCTCCTCACCCTGCTTGGACCCTGCACAGGTGCCTGATGGGCGGGTCGGGAGGGGGATTTCAGTGGGATCCAAGGGGCAGGCTGGGGAGGTGGAGGCGGCAGAGGGAGGAAAGAACCAACTTTCCACCCTCCCTAGGAGGTCTTAGGCCTTCCCAGGCTGCCCTTCATTTAGGAACTTGACATCTTTGGGACTTCATCTGGGAGAAGACCTAGATGGCTTCTGGAGCACTCTGAGAGGCTTGGGGTGAGAGGCTGTAGATGGGGACCAGACAGTCCTCTGAGGTACCTTCGAGGGGCTGGGGGGTGACCCTGTGTAACTCTTCAGCTGGAGGCTGCCCTGGGGGAGCCCATAGACTCAGGTATATGGCATCATCCTTCCCCTTACTCCATTCCGTGCACTGCCCTGTCTGGCCAGCTCGGAAGATTTGGGGGAAACTGACGAGTTGGACACTGGATGCCTGGATTGCCCTGAGGCACAGCTGCAGGATGGAGTGGTGGGCTTAGGGCTGTTGAGGTCTTGCCTTCTTTTGCCCCCTCTCTTCTCGATGGCCCTGGGCAGTTAGAGATCAGCTGGAAGCAGCAGGGAGAGGAAGGCATCGGCCCCCAGGGCAGGCCCTTCAGACGGGAAATCTTAGCGGCTTGGGAAGTAGGAGGCTGGGTAGCTGTGGAGCAGAAGAGGAGAGGTATCAGATCTGCTGGGGCTGGGATTCTCTAGTCATCGGCCCCCAAATGACTGAGGTTTGGTTTCTAGGGACTGAGTGAGGATAACAGAAACTTGTCACTTCCTCCCTCATTCCAGTACACCTGTTTGAGTCATGTATGCCCTCAGGAGACTAGATGTCACTGAGCAAATCTCTCTCCCCTTTTCTTCCAGTCTGTTTCTTTGTTTCACCTCTATGTGCCTCTCCCTCTTTGGGGGAATCTTCCTAATCTCTCTAAATAGCTTGCTTGCTTGCCACTCCACACCCCAGGTCTCTCTGATCTGTCCCCATTCTTTCATTGCTTCTGTTGACACCTGGAGAGGTGGGGTGGTCTCATAAGCTTCAGCACAGGATCCCAGAGGCAAGCACCCTCTCTGTCTCTTTCTCCCCATCAAGGCATCCCTTCCCGAATGGTCCTCATCTTGAATCCTTAAGCAGAAAGCTCCATATCATTCTGTGAGTACTCAGAGACTCAGAGAGAAAGATAAGGTCTTTCTGGGTAGGACCATCAGGATCAGAGTAAGGATGGATTATAGTCCCTGAAGAGGGGCTTCCGTCCTACCTGATACATGGTGGTGGGGAGGAAGATGGCCGTGTGACCTCTAAGTGCATGTTAAACTGGAAGGTGGGAACTGTTTACTGTAAAGCAAAAGGGACACTGAGGGGCCCACTCTACTTTCCCAGGATCTGTCCAGTTTCTGTGTCCTCTGTGATGTTCTGTTTGATCCAATTCTGACTACACCCTCCTCCCTGATCTATATCGCTAGCTGCCAGTCCCTGTCCTCCAGTCCCAACCTTAGAAAGGTAGGCTCCTAAGACCCAGAGGGGCCTATGTCTGGTATATAGACCACCACCAATCACTGAGTCTTTAGGGAAAAACATACTACTCCCCTTTGGCCTGGTATGAACTTGCCACGGCACCAGGCAGGTGGTTGGAGCTGATCCAGAGATTCTCATCTACTCCCTCTTCCCTGAGCTCTTGCCCCCCCGAGGGACCCTTCTGGATTCTCATTTTCTTATCCCACAGGTGCAGGACAGATTGAGCTCCTGGTCTTCATGAGAAGGGGCTGATATCTAGTCTCCGAGACCAGAGTAGCCTAGGACCCAGCCTTGCCTGGGTCATGGGTTTGAAAGCTAGGAGAAGTCTGGAGACTATTTGCCAGGCTCTTTTCTGGCTTTGTGTTCTTTCCTGTAAATACATATGGCTGGACTAGTTTAGCATTTCTCAAGTGGGGTGGGCTGCTGGCATCAGAAACACTAGGGCACTTGTTAAAATGCTGATTGCTGGGTACCTGCACCTATGAATTCAATTCAGTAGGTCCGGGATGGCTTGCAGGAAGGAGCCCATGTTTTTACAAGTACGATGGATGAATGCAGTGCAGTGCACGGTCAAGTTTGTGGCTGTCTGAGCTAGATGCCAGATACTGCCTCTCACAGCAAAGAGCTTCTCCAGTCCTTCTCCAGTCTCCGTTTAATGGAAGAAACTGAATGGGGAAGTGATTTGCCCAAAGTCACACATTTAGAAGGCCACAGAACCTGGTCTCCTGCCTCCTAGGGCAGGATCTTTGAACTGCACCTAAGAGTCAGATCCAGGAAGATACAAGAAGGGAGAAAGTGGGGTGAGGGTGAGGGGGCAGAGGGGGATGTGAAGGACTATGAGGCAAGAATCATCGCCCCTGCCCCCTAAACCCCTTCTCCATTCACTTTGCCTTTGGGCAATTTCCTCCAGAACCTGGGTGGGGGAGGGTGGGGTTCCGGTGTTGAAATGGCATCCTGGACAGACATAAACACCCCACCCACTTTGCCCACTGGCCAAGGTCCTGTGCCTACACCAGCTCCCAGCTCCGGGGATGGCAATATAACAAAGAGGTAGGGGCAAGGGCTAAGGTAGCCCCTCCTTCAGAAGGATAATTTATAGTTCTTACTAATTTGGGGTAAGTCAAAGAGTGGATTCCATATTAGATAGCTGTGATAGGCCATCTTTGTGGGGCTCTAAGGTCATGTAATTTAAAGTCATCCAGTCCAATCCTCTGTCCTTTAATAAGTTTCTCCCACCCCCAGCCTGCCTGCCTTTACTTATATGGCAGGGGGAGGGTGCTGCTTCTGGCCCTCAGATATTGGGAGGCCCCTGCAAAATCTACTTGGGATCTCTTGCCAAAGGCAGAGAGAACAGATGCAGGGAGGTGGGGGTGGGGAATAGGGAGGTAAGATGAGGAGAGGGGCAGATAAAGAGGGAAGATGAAGGTAAGGGTGAGGGTTTGTTGAAAATGTTAAGGGACCTCTGCGTTCAATTTATCCAACTCCCTGGCTTTATAAATGAGGAAACAGAAGCTCAGAGAAGTGCGACGGGCTTGCCCAACATCACACTGGTGCTTTGTGGCTGACCGGCAGCTAGAGCCCACATCAAAGGGGGGGGGGAGGTGAAGGGGAGTGTGTATGTAAGGCTCTAAAGGATATTCCCCAGAAGAGAAGAAAAGAGCCAGATTCCACAGAATTGACTGACTATTTAATAGAGGTCGTAGACCACCAATAGAGGATTGGAGTGGGGTGGGAAGGCGTCTGAGATGCCAGTACAGGCTAGCAGAGTTAGCTCGTATGTTCCAGGCCTGAGTCTGTTATTTACCAGGTTGGGTCTCAATTTCTGTATATGTGCTGCCAAAGCGAGCACTGGGTCTCAATTTCTGAAAGGACCTTATGGGGTCTTTGTGAAAATCAATGTTGTAAACTAATGCTCGTGAAACGTCAGCGCAGTTCTTGACAGTTCTTAGCAAGTCTCTGCTATGATTGTTATATTACTTTCGGAGCCCCGGAAGCTTGGCTGTGTGGGTCGGGGTATGGCTGAGATGATCCTGCAGGGACATAGGACACAGAGGTCCAGTGTCTCCAGAGACCATTCCTCCTCTGCTGCCTCCAGCTGATAAACCTCTTATCTGGCCCAAGCAGGGGAGCCCAGAGCCAGGATAGGAGGAGAAGGCAGGGTTGCTATCAGCCACCAGGCCTGGGCCATATCTCAGAGAAGGGGAGGGGCCGTCTGCCTGGTTCTTCTCGCAACACACTCCTTGGGGATCCCCAAGCACTCACTCTCATCTCAGGAAGATGAGACAGAGGAGGAAAACTGAGGACGGAGGAGGGAAGCAGGAGTGATTCCTGACGTTGCTCCAGAAAAAGGGACAAAGCAAACCAAACCAGAAAGTGTGACTTCTGCCCTGCCCAGTGATATACAGTGTGGGGGAGTAAACAGTAGGAGAAAGAGAAGGCATCTTGTCTGAAAAAGAAGGTAAAGACCTCCTGGGCTCCCAGAGGAACTGACTACAGCCACAGCAGGTGAGGTGGAGATCACACCGCAGAGAAGCCTTTGTAGCTTCAGGAGTTAGTTGATGAGGGCGACATAATTGGGGGGTGGGGGAGGTGGGGTGGGATGAGGCCTCGCCTTCCCTCAGGCGAGGCTGCAGGGAACTCTCCATGGAGGCAGGACAAAATTGCTGGGCCCTAGCAGGAGAGGTCTTAGCTTGTTTCTCTCTCTTTTTTTTTTTTCCCCTTCAAAACCTGTTTCTCCTTTGCCACAGGTTGCTGGGGCCTTTTGGGTTTTGGGAACCCTGGATCAGGCCCTGGCCCAGTAGGATGCCCCCGTGTCCTCCCCAGCAGAGCAGGAACAGGGGGACACAGTTGCCCACTCTGGAACTGGGAGAGATGGAACTGACTTGGCAAGAGATCATGTCCATCACTGAGCTGCAGGTGAGCAGGGCTGGGGGCCTTAGGGGGTGGGGTGGGGAGGGAAGAGCAGAGAAGCAGGGAGGCTGCTTGGGACTGAGACAGGGGGCTGGAGCCAACAGGGAACGTTTCAGACACTAGAAAAGGAAGGGTTGGAGTAGGAGGGAGATCTGGATGGAAAACCAGAATATTAAGGGGAAAGGGGTGTGGAGGAGCAGGGGATAGGGGTGGTGGAAGGAAGGATCTGATTGGGGTGTAAGCTCTCTCAGCAGCCACTCTGCTCGCATCTTTCTATCCCACCCCCTGCCCCGCCTTCCCTTTCTCATCTTCTTCCCTTCTAAACTCGCTCTCCTCCAATCCTGCCCATCTTCTTCCTTCATTTCCTCCCTTGCCCTCAGATGCTGGGCCCCTTTCCCTCAGGTAGCAGAGCAGTAGTTCAGGGGCCTCGGGAAGGGGGGGGGCAGACTATGACGGGGTCCTCGCCTCCTGCTAGTTGGACAAAGGGGTGTCTGTTGGCCTAACAATGATGTCTTTGTCTCCAGCTGGGCTGGAGCACGGTGGCTCCTCCATGTGGGTTGGGGGCCCTGTTTCCAGCATGTTCTCTCCTCCTCTCTGCACCTGGGCAGGGACAGAGGGACTGAAGAGGAGAGGGTAGAGTTAGTGCCAGCTCTCCAAGGTGCCTCTTAGCCCCCAGACCCGGCTCTGCCTGCCCCCCCCCACTCTCCCCTGCCACTGTGCCTGGGTCCTCAGGATCTGCCCTAAGCCCTCGTCCCATGCAGCAGCTCCCTCTGCTGGGCACCCAGGGCATGACCAGGGCCTGAACTTGACCCTTTGACCCCAGATAACCAGAGTAGGAAAGGGTTCTGAGGGGGTCATCATAGATAACAACTTCTTGTGCTCCTGAAGGAAATAAAGGAAGAACAGCCATTTCAACCCAGTAAGAACTTCTCCTGAAGAGGAGATTCTATACCATTGCAACATTACATAGTCTTTTCTGAAGTCAGACCCCGGTGACTTCCACTCGAGTTTAAGCTGCTTTCTGCTTGAGATAGCCTCACCTCACCCTTACGAGAAGCTTTGAATGATTTTTAGCACCTTTCTGTTCCCTTGTTATTATCTCACTGTGTCTTTCAGAAGGACCCAGCTTGGTCCTGAGAGACAGCTGGTTTCTCTTCCTCAGCCTGTCTCCAAAAATTCTCTATGGCTTTTCTTGCAGGGTCTAAATGCTCCAAGTGAGACACCGTTTGAGCCCCCTGCCCTGGCCCCATACCCTGGGCCTCCACCGCCCCCAACTTACTGCCCCTGCTCGATCCACCCAGATGCCGGCTTCCCTCTTGCTCCGCCACCCTATGAGCTCCCAGCACCCACATCTCATGCCCCAGACCCCTCGTACTCCTATGGCAACATGGCTATACCAGTCTCCAAGCCTCTGACTCTCTCCAGCCTGCTCAGTGAGCCCCTCTCAGATCCTTTGGCTCTCCTGGACATTGGGCTGCCAGCGGGGCCCCCCAAACCTCAAGAAGACCCAGAATCTGACTCAGGATTATCCCTTAACTATAGTGATGCTGAATCTCTTGAGCTGGAGGGGACGGAAGCTGGCCGGCGGCGTAGCGAGTATGTAGAGATGTACCCAGTGGAATACCCCTACTCACTTATGCCCAACTCCTTAGCCCATCCCAACTATGCCTTGCCACCTGTGGAGACCCCCTTAGCCTTAGAACCCTCCTCAGGCCCTGTGCGGGCCAAGTCCACTGCACGGGGGGAGGCGGGGAGTCGGGATGAGCGTAGGGCCCTGGCCATGAAGATCCCCTTCCCAACGGACAAGATCGTCAACTTGCCGGTAGATGACTTTAATGAGCTGTTGGCACGGTACCCACTGACGGAGAGCCAGCTGGCATTGGTCAGGGACATCCGACGGCGGGGTAAAAACAAGGTGGCCGCCCAGAACTGTCGCAAGAGGAAGCTGGAGACCATCGTGCAATTGGAGCGGGAACTGGAGCGGCTGGGGAGCGAGCGGGAGCGACTTCTCCGGGCCAGAGGGGAGGCCGATCGGACCCTGGAGGTCATGCGCCAACAGCTGACAGAGCTGTACTGTGACATTTTCCAGCACCTGCGGGATGAAGCAGGCAACAGCTACTCCCCTGAAGAGTATGCTCTGCAACAGGCCGCTGATGGCGCCATCTTCCTAGTGCCCCGGGGGACCAAGATGGAGGCCACAGACTGAGCTGGCCCAAGGGGTGGGACTGTGATGGAGATTTGCTTTATTCCCTTCTGATAAAGGTACTCCCCAATCCCGAGGCCCCGAAGGAACTGGGTTCTCTAGGCCAGAAGGGGACAGTGGGAAACCTGGCATTTGGAGGGTCCACAGCGTATTCAGTGAGGCTTGCCTTGAGACAAGCATGTGAGGGGAGGGCTGGGATCTCTTTCCCGTGATTTGGCTTCCCAGGGCTCCAACTTCCTCCTCTTGTTTGAGCTTTGATATATAAAGCGCTCTACACTAATAGCCTTCCACACTGTGTCTTCCTTCTTGAGAGAGGGTGATGAGCTGAGTACTCCGAGTTCACTGCTTGGTGGTGGTGGGGAGGGAATCTTGCCAGGATTGTTCCTTTCCCCTACAGCTCTGTATGAGAGAGGTACACAGGAAATGTGGTTTTGAGCAGTGTGGAGATCTACCCCCTTCATCTTCTTTAGAGCCAGGAGCGGTGGATGATATGAGGAACCCCAACCTCCCTGGTGGCCCACTATTTATGGAGCTGAGATTGTGGCCAAAACTGGCTATACCTACTGTGCAAGGTCTCTGAAGTTTAGACCTCTTCTTTCTCAATCTTTGGAGCACAGAAAAGCTTCAAATGCCCACAGGACTTTTTCTCGCTCTCTCCCTCCTGTCTTCTGTATGACTTCCTTATTGTGATGTATCAGAGCTCTTTCAGAAGATTGAGATGCTCTTGGTTGGAACGAGAGAATTTGATTGGACATCAGTTTCAAGGGACTTCATACCCAAGTCTGGGCAAAACTTGCTTCATGGTGAAGTGGGATATGCATTTTCTCTCTCTCTGGTTATGTTAGACACACTACCCAGTTGTTTTGGGGCCTCCCTTTTCTAGACCCTCAAAGATCTAGGGCTTATTATTATTTTGTTCTTGAAGCAGAACACGATTAAGTTTCAGAATCCAGTGCACCTGCTTGGCTCAGTTCATTAAGCAATCTGACTCTGGATTTTGGCTCAGGAAATGGTCTCCCAATTTGTGAGTTTAAGTCCCGCATCAGGCTCTGCATGGACAGCATGGAGCCTACTTGGGATTCTCTGGTCTCCCCCTCTGTCTCTCAAAAATAAACATTTATCTAAAAAGTTTCAGAATCCATCATCAAAATCCAGTAAAATTTTTGACAATACACCTTCATCTCCCAAGTTGGAGTTGGGTGGTTCCTAATTTTTCTGGTCACTGAATGACACAAATTACCTCTTTAGGGTATTTTAATTGTTTACATTTCTATTCAATTTTACTAGCTCCATTCCAATGGGGAAAACTTCCTTTCAAGTTCTAATAGACAGTTGTGAGACATAAAAGCAGGCAGTGATCAAAGGAGGTGTAGAATCTTTATGCCTACAGATTCTCCAGAACATGGTCTCTAGCCTAGGGTTAGGGAATGAAAGCAACTTAAAGCTGATTCCTGAGAGACCTAAAAACATTTCAGACAAGTTGTTAACTGTTTTCTAAAAAATGAAAGAAAAAGAAAAAAAAAACAACGGCATCTAGTTGTAAAGGGTAGTGCCTGGGATTAGCTGTTCAGAAACTGCTTTAGTTCACCTGAGGAAACATCCGGTAGTGGTGTTTTTTTCCCCCACTTCTAACCAAATTCACAAAAGTGGTTAACTCAAGAGGCAAATTTAGACCTTCATTTATACACTGAGCACCTAAGTTCTAGAGCTACACTGGAGATGCAAACAGCTAACCGGAGAAATGTGTTCTCAAGATACACTGTAGCGGGTAAGACACCCACACACATGCAGCCTGGTACGCGCCTACCTAAAGCAAAAAGTGGAACGCAGCTGTGGACTGTGACTTGGGTTGTTTCAGATTGTAGGAACTTGAACAAGAGGGTAATTTTCCTCACCTAAAAAGTATGGGACTTATTAACCATCTTGTGTTTGTAAAACATGGGGCAAAGTACACAGAACGTAACAGAAGCATTAACCTCATTTTCAATAGGAATGAATGCTTTTGGCACTTTGGTGGCCTGAACTGTTAACTTCAGGTCACGATTAGATTCTTTTTATTTTTTTTTAATGTTTTATTTATTTCTATGAGACAGAGAGAGACAGCATGAGCAGGTGAGGGTCAGAGAGAGAGGGAGTCACAGACTGAAACAGGCTCCAGGCTCTGAGCTGGCAGTCAGCACAGAGCCCAACGCGGGGCTCGAACCCACGAACCGCGAGATCATGACCTAAGCGAAAGTCGTACGCTTAACCGACTAAGCCACCCAGGTGCCCCTAGATTCTTTTTAGATAAAGAGCCTGAGTGGGGAGAGGGGCAGGAGGGAGAATCTTAAGCACGCTCCAACTGTCGGAGGTTGACGAGAGGTTCTATGCCACCATCTTGAAAAGCAAGACCTCAGCCAAGATGGGGATGTTTGGCTGAGCCACCTAGGCACCGATTTGGTTCTTAAAACCATCAATATTGTAGAATTTAAGACTGCCTAGACATTCACAGCTCAATACCCCATTTTTGTTAGGTTGAAAACAGACTGGATGATCTTTTCTTGAACGTAGAAAATTTTAAACATTTGCTCTGGGGGCTGAATTATTGCTCAAATTTTTGGGTTACTTTTGAAAAACATCTAGGACTTCCATATTCATCTTATCCTGGTTCCAGATTAGTTTAGAACCTGTAGATAGCTGGCCAATACATACTTGCAGAGGCAACTGTACAGCTTCTCACTTGGCCAGAGAGAGCCAGTTTCTGATTTCACTAAACCAGGATACTGATGGGATGAAACTTTTACAGTAATACGTGCAGGATTAGGACCTCTTCAAGGGGTGCCTGAATGGCCCAGCTGGTTCAGCGTCCCACCTCTCTGCTCATGATTATTGCAGTTGAGTTTAAGCCTTGCATTAGGCTCTGTGCCAGCAGCTCAGAGCCTGGAGCCTGCCTCAGGTTCTGTCTCCGTCCCCTCCCCCATTCACTCTCAACCCAATTGTTCCTCCCTAAACTCAATTGAACCTGTGGTCCAATGGTTTCTATTAATAACATCGTCGCACCTTTAACAAACCTACATAAGTCTTACTTGTTCCTTTAGAAGGATCCAAAGAAGAATTAGTAAGGAACAAAGGGGGAAAGACTTCAACTCTGCTAAAAACTCTAGTTTATTACCATAGCAGGAAGGTGGGGAAAAAAAGAGCCAAGTCGAAATTAAAAGCATTTTATTAAAAAAAGTCCATTCATAAAACTGAATGATTAATTCAAGCTGCGAACAGCTAACAACTACATGGCAGTGAAAATGAAGTGCATAGTGGCTCAGATAAAGGTTGTCCTCATAAGGATGTTCCTGCCAAAATAAAGAAAAACGTCATGAATCATTTGCATCATTTGCATAAGCATTTGAAGGGTTCTATAATTACAGTGTTCCATTTACTGGGAACCCAGCTACTTGAATCACTTTTTGCTGGCTATGGGCTTTTACTGGACTAGGAGAGTTCTTTTTGTATTCAGGTACAGCTTCTGTTTCTCTACTTTGGCAATACCAAGCACTCTTGCCACTGTTGGGTTTGTAAAAAGCTTACCTTTTAGCCATGAATTTGGACAGATGAGTTTGTTTTGTTTTATATTTTTAAAGAGAGTTGATTTAGCCGGGAGTGGCAGACTCCTCCCTAGAAAAGTAAACAACCTTTAGAACTAGCTTTCTGGGAGACCAACTCCCAGCTCAGGGTCAACCCCCCACCCCCCTCCCCAAAATGGTCCACCCTCCCTCCCGCCAGCTTTTGGGGGAGATTCTAACACATTACTTTGAGCCATTATTTTAAGGAAATGGGTCAAAGGTAGGAAGGAAATAAAATTAAAGGGCAAAAAATATATGGTTACAGAATTAGAGTGTTTTACTTCCTTCGTTTGGGAGCCACCAAATCTAGGGTGTCAAAGTTAAGAAAATTCATCTCCAGAAAAACCAGGTTCAGCTTAACTGGACTAGTTTTGGCTCAATATATTAAGGAGAATGTTAACAAAACTGGATTTTAGAGAACACTATATGGATGGAAGTAAAATCTGTTCTTACCTACCAGCATAGCAATAAAACCTTTTCTCCTGGTTCTGACTGCTAGTCCTAAGAGTCAGGTGTGCCTTACTCTGGTCTGCCTCCTTTCTTGCGATGGTCACTGAAACTTCACTCCCTCCTAGCTTTCATGGAGCGTGCCATGGCCGGCCCCTGGCTTATCTGTACTCCACATACCACAAGTGTCTACTCTCAGCTGTAGAGTGTCTGAGCTCGGAGCCATTCGCGCTATGCTTGCTAGCAGTTCCTAGTAGCTGAACATCTCTCCTGGATCTTTAAAGGCATTGTCACGAATCCTGAGGTATCTGCAAACTCCCTCAATAGTTAAGGTTCCACCTGCCATTGCAAACTCAGCCGATATCAAACTCATGGAACTATCACCCATGCTTTCCCTCCCACCTCCCACCCACTCCCCCCTCCACCCTCCTCCCCAAAACTTCCAAGCAACACATCCAAGATATTGGGAGGGAATACACAGTCCTAGTGATAAACAATTCTCTATGCTGCCAGGTACAATGGCACTGAAATTGAGGGTACCAAAGGGAGGGCTCAAGAGAACCTATGTAACAAATAACAATGATCGGATATTATGTAACTATAAAAGGCTTCAGAAATCATTTTCTGTACAATTAACATTTTAGGATGGTTGTGTGATGTACCATAGTTAAAGGAAAACTGCAGTTAGCATGAATATACTAAAATTGCCTCCCCATCCCCAAAATTTTACTATCCAAATAAGAAATCCATATAGTTAATCTACAGACCTCTATTAAGGACCCACCAAACCAGAACAGAGTGTAACTGCTGTTTTCCTTTAATGTAAGCCTGTTTTTGCATTAAAAATAAGATATTCTTACTGGTGCTGGTCAGCTTAAAAAGGTCTCCCAAACACTTCTAATCTGTGGACTTATGGGGTGGCATTAGCCAGCAGCTGGTTTCTATTCTCTGGCAGAGTTTTGAACTTGAATTGTGATAGAAGCATTCAACATTATGAGGGGTAGTGGGCAGGGAAAGTCCAAAGCTCTGCCAGTCCCAAATCCATACAGTTGCCATTCCATTCAAGAGAATATTAAATCGTTTATTGATTACACATGATAATGGATGATACACAAGCTTTAATCCCATCTATAATTTTATCTGATACCATGATTCAATTTAGATATATTGCATAGGATGTGCCAACAATCATATTAATAACCAAATAAACTCCAGGACTTTGCTTGGGTGACCCTTTTAACGGTGAACTCCAGGTCACAACACATTAACTGTCAGTTCAACCACACCAATGTTTGTGGAGACAATGGATTCTGTGCCCAAGCAGGTTGCAAATAAAATTTCAAATGGAACCTGGCATCACCCTGAAGGAATTCTAACTTCACACTGTTGGGGTAGTTTACCAAGATGGCTTCAGAGTAGACTAACTTTACACAGCACATTTAAAAAAAGACACATTTATTCAGCGTCATGATCAGACTATTACATTTAGCAATCAACAGCATGGGTGCAAAAAAAAAAAATCTACATTAAAACCCTTTGTTGGAATGCTTTACACTTTCCACAGAACAGAAACTAAAATAACCTGTTATACAATTAGTCACAAATACAGTCCTCGAGTTTTTTGCCCATACACATGAGTATTGTCTAAAACATGTCTTCTTTGTAGCAGCTAGGCCCTGCCACCACTGTGCTTGGCTGAGTTCACAAATCTGTTGTAACCTGTAGCTTCCCTGTCACTTCTCTGGCTCTCCTCTCCTGCTAAGCTTTGTTTCCTGTTGAACAATATGGAATAAAGTTGTTAATCTAAACATATTAAGACTCAAGGCTACAATCCAATAGCAAGTTTTCTTTCCCACAAATTTTGCTGATCTGAATATTAACTTAATAGCCACAATTTTACTGCAATTATAATGTTAACTATGTTGCACTGCTCAGCTACATTAGGGTTACTGGATTCATTACAATTTATAAAAGTTAACTTGAAACATAAAGAGAGGTTTACTTACCTGGCAGTAATTAAAACCTTCTGCCACTGCCATAGCTACTGCTGCTGCTGGAACCGCCATAGCCACCTAAGAAAGTAATTTGTCCCTTTAAGTTTTAGAAGCACAAATACGAAGACTGTTTATATCACGGGCAATAAAAGTTCAGATTTAAGAGTTTGGGCACACATGATTTTCCCAATTTGATTGCACATTATCTATCAAATTTCAGTTGTTTTAAATTACAACTTTTCACTGTCAACTCACACCCCTCCAAAAAACTAGTGTATTCCTTATGGGATCTAGTTCATTATGGACACCTCACCCTCTAATAGGTACATACATACAACACCTTGGTTTCGTGGTTTGGCAAAGTATTGGCCTCCACCACCATAGGGGCCAGAGCTTCTGCCTCCAAAATTTCCTCCTTTCATGGGTCCAAAATTTGAAGACTGATTGTTGTAATTGCCAAAATCATTATAGCTTCCACCACCTCCAAAGTTGCTTCCTAGAAATGAAAAGAGGACCTTTATTTGTCACTTGAGAAAGATGGTAGTTCTGAATTCTATTTCGTACTTAGAATAAAATATGTCGCGTGATCTGCTTGCCTTCCTCCCAAACTCTGGTGGCTCCAATGTTTGATTACTTATTTCATCCTTTTCTGGGCAAGGCACTCAGTTGAACAATTTAGTACTCTATGTAAAAATTCACCCAACTTACCATGGCATAGTAGCACACTTCCTAGCCTGGAAGGCCTGTACCCATCCAGGGCACTGCAAACACATGCTGAATGTATCAACTAAGTGCCTAAGATCCCAAAGGACTTAAGACACTAAATCCTGCTGGAGGCTAATCTAATTCTGATTAAAGACAGGACTATCCACTTACGCATCTATCTTATTTGGGAGTGAGGCGGCCCCAGCTTAAAGCTAGGAGGAGGTAGCATTAGCAAGCCCGTTAAAAAAGAATACCATGCATTGTCCCACATAAGGCTTTTTAAGAGCATCAAATCCCCTTATGATCATAAACTCTAAAGAGCTAATCTAACTATTGCACCAAGTACTTGGATCACTGGATACCTACCACTACCACCGCCAAAGCCGCCTCCGCCTCCTCCGTTGTTATAGCTGTCATAGCTGCCACTCCCGCCATAGCCACTGCCCTGGTTTCCATAACCCTGTCCACCACTTCCATAGCCTCTGCTTCCTCCAGAGTAACCAGGGCCGCCTCCTCCATAACCACCTACAAGAATACAATTCTTCTCAATAAGACAAAAGTATTCAACAATCAAAAACCTGTGCAAGTGTAACGCCTAAAAGCCTGCTCACAGCATGCTGTTACGGTCAGAGCTGAGCTTGTCATGCACTAGGTTAGCTCTACTAACCTATTCTAGAGAGTCCAAAACAAACTTTTCACCTGTACACTGTTCAAGATAAACTTACCATCATTACCAAATCCGTTATAGCCATCCCCACTGCCACCATATCCACCACCACCTCGACTGCCACCAAAGCCACCTGGAAAAAAGTAGAGTTTTAACCACTTTCTGAGGTGTATTGGCCACATACAAATTACACTCTTCTTAAATTCAAGTTTTACGAAACCACCTGTATTACAAAAACGATCTCTATACTTAAGACTTCACCTTCTGGCTAGTGAGAAGCCAGAACATGAATAAAATTTAACTTCGGAAAAATTGGCCAATAGGAACATCTACCACAGGCTGCGAGTGGACAAGTTATCTGGGGGTAATCGAATTACAAGCTTACTATTAATTGAGTAGACTATATATAACCACACATACCACGCCCACTGAAGTTTCCTCCACGACCAAAGTTGTCATTCCCACCAAAACCACCTCCACGACCACCACCGAAGTTTCCAGAACCACTTCGACCTTAAAAGATAAGTTTTAAGTGTTAAGCTGTACAAACTGGAATTAACTAGTTGCCTGTAAGGTCTGATTAAACAAACCCACCTCTTTGGCTGGAGGAAGCACTAGCCATCTCTTGTTTAGACAGAGCCTTCCTTACTTCACAGTTGTGGCCGTTCACAGTATGGTATTTTTGAACTAAAAAATTTCAAAGACAACACAATCTCAAGGCTTAGCATACAGCATGGGTTTAAAAAACCTTGGTGAATGGCATACCCGATACTTACTAACAATCTTGTCTACAGAGTCATGGTCATCAAATGTTACAAAAGCAAAGCCTCTCTTTTTGCCACTGCCTCGGTCAGTCATGATTTCGATCACTTCAATTTTCCCATACTGTTCAAAATAATCTCTTAGATGATGTTCTTCAGTGTCTTCTTTAATGCCACCAACAAAAATCTTTTTCACAGTTAGGTGGGCACCAGGTCTTTGAGAATCCTATTATGAATAGGCCCAATTAAGTCACTTCCAAAGTAGAACTATTCTTAATCAAGATTAAAAGTTTACCACCCCCAAATGCAAAATCCACTTAGTGGCACACTTTTAAAAGACCAAGAATAAAAAATTATCACTCACTTCTCTCGAGACAGCCCTCTTTGGTTCTACAACTCTTCCATCCACCTTGTGTGGCCTTGCATTCATGGCCGCATCCACCTCCTCCACAGTGGCATAGGTGACAAATCCAAAGCCTCTGGAGCGCTTGGTGTTTGGATCTCTCATTACCTGAAACATTAATTCATTTACTAGATAGTAAAACCGCGAAGCGAATACAAGGCCCTTCAGCTTCCCGCTATTCATCTAATATAAATCTACTAACAGGGAGCCTCTAGTCAGCGAAAGCCACACCTTCCCTTGCCAGGTAATTTTCAACTATAATCCCGTTAACCATCGTCACGAGTACGGTGATCACAGCAAAAATAATCCAAGGAAATCAACTAATTCTACCGGCTTTTTGTCTCTTCCAAGTCTTACCACACAGTCCGTAAGCGTTCCCCATTGCTCAAAATGGCTCCTCAGACTCTCATCGGTTGTTTCAAAGCTCAAACCTCCGATGAAAAGCTTCCGCAGCTGTTCAGGCTCTTTGGGAGACTGGGAGTAGGGGAAAAAATCATTACGTGGGGGCTATGACGACAAATTATCTTCCAGTCAGGAGAAGGAAAGCCACCCAACAATGATACACAGCACTTATTGTTCCCTCGGGTCGCAGCAAGCCACGTGCTTCTCCCCATTAGGGGAGACGGTCCGTTGGGGGCTGGGAAGCCCCAAGCGCATGCGTCCCTACTCCTCCTTCGACGCACGCGCAACAAAAGGACGGAGCTAGGAGAATACAGAGCCAAGAAAGAACTACATCTGCTCCTTAAGAAACTCGCCCCGATACAAGGGCAGTAACAAAACGAAACGAAACAATCGAATATGAGTAAGAGTTTCGCCATAAGGAATAACCCCGGCGTGATAACTAAGTGTTGCAAGACGGCGGCCTCATGGCGACGACGAGGACAAAATGGCGACCCGAACTTTGGGAGGGGTAGGCCCTGGCAGCAACGGAAGAACTGCCGAAAGAGCTGGCGCAAGCAGCCAACCCAGGCCACGTCCTACCGAATTCAGGAATGGACGAGGAAGAAAATTAAACGGAGAGAGCGTGCTACTCACCTCTGACTTAGACATGACGGCGGTGGGAGGGGAGACTTTATCGATGCTTACTCGGCGGCGTCCACGGGCAGAAAGGAGTAATCTAACGAACGTATCTGCCAGCCTACCTTCGGCCTCGCTTTTTATCCCGCCTCCTCGCTTTAGGCATTGGTAGACTCCGCCCCTGAGTATCTCTGATTGGATACTTGCAATGGCTTCCCCCCTGCTATTGGTTTGTAGGGCCGCAGTGCTGTGTAACGTCATCCCTTTGGGCGGCCTACGCAGTCTCCACCCCTTAGTGTTCATTGGTTCCTGAGCAGTATTTGTCTTAGCTAGTGTGATTGGCTCGCCAACCAATCATTCATATTTGAATGTATGTAAGGTATTCAAATAACTTTTTGATTCTTCACGCCCCGGAATTACGCTCAACTCACTTGGCAAAACATGATTAATACTATGTATTAGGAAAGAAGTTATGGGGTGACTTTTTAATTTCTCTTTTGCAACGACCGCCCGCTAAGCGCATGTGTAGTAAAATGGCGAGTTTACGCAAGCGCATTAAGAAGTTCCGCTGGGCGCTTGGAACACGTGAAATGGCGGGCAAGAGACGGAGGCGAATCTACAGCGCTTGCGTAGTGGCGGGAGTTGTGCCTCGTTTTGCGCAGGCGTAATGGGCGGAGAAAGGGTACGGTCCCAGGATTGGTCGCGCAGGCGCAGGGAAGGATCCGTTTTGGCGGGCGGTTGGCGTTGCGCAGAAGGCGGCGGCGGCGGTGTCTTGTGGTCCTGCCTCACCACAGAGGAACAGGGAAGACGTTTGCGTGAGTGATCGGTCTCGATTCCAGGTAAGTGACGGATAGTCTTGTCTACCCATACGAGGTCTTGAACTGACTCCAATTGGGCCCGTTATTGTGTGAAATGAATGGACCGCGGGGTGGGGGCTAGTGAAGGGGGAGCGGTGGGTCCGGCCAACCAATGGAAGGACAGGGGCGGGATGTTTTATTCCTGTAAGTTCTGTGGAGCTCTGGCGCCGAAGAGCTTGACTGGCTTGTGTCTAGGCCAATTGGGTCCGCCTTTCGCTGCAGACTGATCGGTCCTTGGGCCATCGGAATGTAGGAGGCGGGTTTCCCGCGCGTGAGCAGCGGCTCCCTGAGCCAATGAGCACGGAGCGCGCGGTAGGTTGGGCTCCTCCAGGAGGCAGCGGGTCGACTCCAATGGGGAATGCGGGAGTCGAGCGGTTAAGTGGCTGGGCCAAATTTGGAGCCAGTAGACGGATAGCCTACGGGAAACGCTCGGGGAGATCGTCCAATCAGCGGTCCAGAAGAGGGAGGTCTTGATGTTAGGGGTTGTGAAGAAGGGGTTTCAATGCCCGTGATGGCGCGACAGGCGCATTATTTTATCCACTGTGACTTCTCAAACCATGCCTTTAGGCCTCCGTCCCATAACCTTTCTGGGAGGGAAACACTAAGTTTTGGTACCCACACTTTTAGTTTTGAGGCGAGCAGGGTAGGTCTTTGGGAACTCGAATCTTTAGGAAGACTGACTTGAAATGTTAGGGCCAATAGGGTAAATCTATACTGTCGTGGAAAGGCGCCCGAGAAACAAAAACCTACATAACGATGCACCTTTTCACGGACAGATGGATGTTTGTAAATCCATAGAAAAAGTTTTGGAAGGCTACGCACCGAAGTGTGTTACCTCTGGGGGCAGTGGGATCTAGGCAGGTTGGTGTCTGATGTTTAAGTCTTTTCAGCGATCGTAATTTGTGATTAAATAAAGGTTAAATTAAAAAGTCAATTTCTGCGTTTCCAGTCATAATCACGGGCTTCTCTTTTATCTTTACACCTCGAGAGAGTGCGGTCTTCCGTTAGGAACTAAGGTGAGCCTCAGTATAAAAATAGAAATGTTAAAAAGGTAACTTTTATTTGACTACTTAGTGTACCTACTAGGGACGCTAGGCTAAGCGCCTTACAAGCATTATTCATGTCTCAGTGCCTTTATCTTACTCTCTTTGAGGACTTTCTCTCCATGTCGATTTTTCTTTATACCGTTACGAGTTTCTAAGCTCTCTCCTCTTCCTTTGAGGATGACTGCATTTTTATAAGGAAGTTGCTTAACTAGGGGGATATTTAGGGTGTTAGACAAAGGACTCGTCCATCACCTGGATTATTCCATTGCCTTCAAAGTGTTTATTTTACAGGCACTGTAATCACTTGTTGGTAATGCCCATTCAGCCGATTTGAAGATGTTTCAGTAAAATAGGGAAATTTTCATTACATAATGGCCATATAAGAATCTAAATTGCTCTGTTGTTCACTGATATATATTTTTTTTTAATTTTTTTAATGTTTTATTTATTTCTAGGAGAGAGAGAGACAGTGTGAGCAGGGGAGGGTCAGAGAGAGAGGGAGTCACAGACTGAAACAGGCTCCAGGCTCTGAGCTGGCAGTCAGCACAGAGCCCGACGCGGGGCTCGAACCCAAGAACCGCGAGATCATGACCTAAGCGAAAGTCGGACGCTTAACCGACTAAGCCACCCAGGCGCCCCAACTGATATATTTAAATAACAGAAGTAATTGTAATAAGTTCAACTACATATGAAGTACATTTCTTTTTTTTTTTTTAATATTTTATTTATTTCTAGGAGAGAGAGAGAGAGAGACAGCGTGAGCAGGGGAGGGTCAGAGAGAGAGGGAGTCACAGACTGAAACAGCCTCCAGGCTCTGAGCTGGCAGTCAGCACAGAGCCCGACGCGGGGCTCGAACCCAAGAACCGCGAGATCATGACCTAAGCGAAAGTCGGACGCTTAACCGACTAAGCCACCCAGGCGCCCCTAGTACATTTCTGATTAGAGACCTTTGTGACATTGTACAAAAGAAAGTTTAGTTGCCCTTATAATGAACACAGCAGTCTCTGACACTTGCAAGAGGACAAGTTTATTTCATATTTTCTTGTATATTATTTGTAGATACACTAAGCACTTTTCCTGCTTAGTTTACAAGAGATAAAGAGATGTAGATTAAGGTTGTCTGTCCCTAATTTATTCAGGCTCAAAAGGACTATAATCTTGATCTGCTATAGGGTTTTTGACCTCAGCACTGTTGACATTTTGAGCCAATAAAGGCATCTCACCTCATCCGTCACCCCCATTTGTGACTCTCAGAATGTCTCCACACATTGCCAGATGTCCTGGGTGTGTGGGGTAGTGGAGATGCAGTCTCCCTCAGTTGAAAACCATTGATTTAGGGGTGCCTGGCTGATTTGGTTGGAAGAGCATGTGCTCCTGATCTCAGGGTCGTGACTTCAAGCCCCACGTTGGGTGTAGAGATTATTAAAAAATAAATAAACAAACTTAAAAAAATTCATGTTGATGTAAAATGACGTGCTGGGAGCTGGGGCTGGCTCAGTGGAGGAACATGTTACTGTTGATCTCAGGGTTATAGGTTCCAGTCCCACATTGGGTGTAGAGATTACTTAAAAAAACAAAAATAAATAAGATGGTAGATGCCGAAATAACTTGTCAAAGTCTCATAATTGGAAATCAGAGGAAGAAGACCGGTGAAGTGTATAGGAAGTAGTCTTTGGTGAATGCATCACTAAATCCTATGGATATCTCTTCATAGGTAAGTGATCTTTGTTCTGGTGGATAAAAGGAGAATTTCATTAAATTTTTACCCTGTCTTGAAATTTAAATACGATTGATTGCATCCAGTGTTTGGCTTCCTAAAACAATGGCACATATGTTTTGGAAGAAGGTGGGTCTTGCATTAGATGCTTGTTAGATTTTTACCTGCTCTAAGCCTTTTTCCTTTACTGAATTTTTTTGGATCAGAAAGTTTTTGCCTGACCCTGTACACATATTGAAATAGGCTTTACTAGGTAAATATATGTGCAAAGCACTTTGGTATTTTCTCATCTACAGTACACGATTTCATTTTCTTAAAGATGCAGATCAGTTTCCGCCAATATCATGGCCCCAAATTCACAGCCTGGGGGAAAAAGAAAACTAATCTGAAGAAAGGGAACCAAATCATGCTTCCTCAGATTATTCTGAATGGATTCCTCCCGTCTCCAGCCACAGCTGCTTGGATTTATAAACAGATTAAACTGTGATCCCTTACTTGATGATTTTAATGATATATTTTGCTTTGAAAGACTTCAGGATTTGAACACAGGCTTCTTGGTTTACCGTGGTATGCAAGTACAAATTGCTTTTTTTGTGAATTCTCTTACAATGTCAGTTAATAGGTCTGATGAACATTTCTCTCTGATGGGTAATTTCTCGCTGGAAATTCTGAGACTATCAGATTGAAAATCTTAAGTTGAGGCTTATTTCTTGCCTTCGGAGAACCTGGTTTGGTTGTTCGTTTGTACTGATCTGTTAATGAGACAAGATTTTTAGCCTGTGTTACAAAAATTAAATTTCAGGTGATTATTCTTAGAACTTAATGGTATATATGATTGCTACCATACCTAAAAGGGGAAATAACAGATCTTCACTGGTCTGTCTGAAAACCAATTAAAAGCAAGCTATCTGGATAGTAAGTGAGCAGGATGACGGTTGGGGCAAAAAAGAAAGAATGAACCTGCCTTTGCAGTGACTGGGTTCTTATATGTCTAGGAAAGTTTTGGTGGTTTTCAGAGCCCTTGATAGTGGCTCTGGAAAAAAGAAAAGGTATCCAGGGTACAAAGGTTTCTGAGGAAGATTAATGTTTTTAGTTTAGATATTTAATTTAACCGCATAGTGTGATTTATGTATCTTACTGGAATAGCCCATTTAACAATTCTTGGTAAAGCATTTCTTTCCTTTTCTTGTTCTTTTACTCAGTCTATTTTTCTTTCCATTTACCTTACATGAGATTGGGTTCAAAGCTGTGTGCTATGGATATTGATTTTAAAAGTAGTGACTTACAGTGTGAGATACCACTTGTGACTGATTTTGTATGGCTGCTGTTTACACATTGTTATTCATGAACTTGGACTCTGGGCAGTTATCTTTTTTCCCTGACAACTTTGATTTTCCTTTCCTTCTTATAAAGAATGCCTTTAACTGATTATTGTACTAATGGGAAAGAGTCCAGGTCATCCTGAGAAGAATTGGCTTGTGCAGAGTCCAAGATTCAGCTTGGTTGGATTTCTGTAAGCTACTCGAAGCCACATATTCATTTCTGATGACAACTTTACACTTGTGTTGGCAGAACACCCACAGTGACAACTGGTGCCTATGTTTAGTCTGTCCAGGAGCTCCACCAGCTAACATGTTTGGGGAAAAACCTACACTGTTCTTGTTAGCAGCTATGTAAATACTAGACCTCACTGAGTTTGTCTTCCTGGATCTGCCAGCATTTTGAGGGGTAAATTGCATTCCCTGATTGCTTCAATTTACCCTTTGAAATGAGGGATTAAAGGTTTTAGGCATTCTGTGGGTCACTTGAAGCATAATTCTTTTTGGATCAGTAATTGGTTTTATATATATAGACCCAGTTTATGATTTTTAAAAATTTTATTTCCCCTGTGTATTAGTTTCCTGTGGTTGCTGGAACAGATGACCACAAACTTCGTGGCTTCAAACAGTGGGAATTTATTCTCACAATTCTGAAGGCCAAAAGTCTGCAGTCAAGGTGTTGAGCCCCCTCTGGAGGCCCTAGGGTAGAGTCCCTTCCTTGCCCCTTCCCACCTTCTGGCGGTTGTCTGCCTCATCTTGTGACCTCATCTCTTCCTGCTCTGCCTTCATATGGTCTTCTCTGTCTCAGAACTCCTGCCTCTTCTAAGGGTAAACGTGATTGCATTTAAGTCCCAGCCAGATATTCCAGGATAAATTTCTCCTTTCACATCTTTTAGTCACATCTTTTGCCATATAAAGTGATATTTAAGTGATATTTATAGGTTCAGGGGATTAGGACTTGGGTCTCTTTTGGAAGGGCCATCACTCAGACCACTACACCTTAGTTCTCTAACCCCTATCCAAATTTTATGTAATTCAAAAAGGAAAAGGTATTTTATTCATTTATTTTAAGTTTAGAGAAAGAGGGGCAGAAAGGGAGAGAGAGAATTTTTTTTCCTTTGAGAGAGAGAGAGAGAGAGAAAGAGAGAATATACACTTGTGGAGCCATGATCCCCTGACTCAGATCATGACCTGAGCTGAAATTAGGAGACAGATGCTTAATCGACTGAGCCACCCAGGCACAGCAAATGTGGGGGGGAAAAAGCCTCAACAAACTTAGATTCCATTCCCATATCTGTCATTAACTAGCGACATAACCTTGGGTGAGCCATTTGCCCTCTTTGTTTCTTAAGTTTCTCTACCTTCTATGGAAAGAATTGGATAGGTGATTGCTAATAGCCTTCTAGGCTGAAGTCTTTCATTAAATGACTCCTGAATTGTCTTGGAGTTTGTTTTTGAAGCCAGTAATTAAAAAAATTTTTTTAATGTTTTATTTATTTCTAGGAGAGAGAGAGACAACGTGAGCAGGGGAGGGTCAGAGAGAGAGGGAGTCACAGACTCTGAAACAGGCTCCAGGCTCTGAGCTGGCAGTCAGCACAGAGCCCGACGCGGGGCTCGAACCCACAAACCACAAGATCATGACCTAAGCGAAAGTCTGACACTTAACCGACTAAGCCACCCAGGCGCCCCGAAGCCAGTAATTTTAAATGCATATAAAGAACTCATTCTAATATTTTGGGCCAATGTAGTCCAATGGTGGTCTTGCCTAGGACTTGAAGGATAGAAGACTAAGTTGTTGGCTGGTTGCCATATCCTTGGGGTATTAACATAGGATAACAAATTTGTTAATTGCTTGTGATATTTCTAAAAAGGGTGTAATGGACTAGTTGGGCCATTTTCCACTCTCATCCTGATGAGGCTGTGGACTGTGTATT